CTGCCCCACGTCCTCCGTGAAGAACTCCGAGTAGTCGAGGCGCGGCTTCTCCAGGCCCTGGTCCCAGCGCCGCACCTTCGCCCCAGGGGCATGGGCGTCCACGCTCTCCTGGGGTCAGCCGGGAAGTCACTCAGCCCAGTTTGCCACCTTGGGGCCTTCCCTGGGGCCACCCTCTGCCAGGGTCCCCCTTCCATCCTGGCTCTCTGGTCAGAGTCCGCTGGGAGCAGAGCCCAGGGCTGTCCGGTCCAAGACCACAGGTCTACCTCCTGCTTTTAGTTTTTTTGAGAGATTTTTGCTATAGGGTTCTGACTCGCCAGAAAGACAGAGACAGACAGAAAATAATAAATCACCCTCCAGGAGGGATGGCCGCGCAGCAATCCCTTCTCCTCCATCCTGCTCTCTGGACTGCAGGCACTCGGCACACGTGCACATCATGAATTTTAAGCAGTCGGGTCTGGGACTTAAACTGCGGCTCACTACATGTGAGTCCAGCGATGTTAACCGTTACACCATCTGCTGGTTCTGCTTTTTTTTTTTTTTTTTGAGAGAGATGTTTGCTATATGGTGCATGTGCTCACCAGAGAGAGAGACAGAGACGGATAAACAGAAAGTGAGAAGTCGCCCCTTTGGGGATGGCCATGCCAGAATCCCTGCTCCATTCTCCTTTCAGGATCTTGGGCACGCACATACACGCGCCTACTGTGAGTTTCAAGCCACCAGGTCTGGGACTCACGACGTAGTCAACCTTAGCCGTAACCACCTGCTGACCCCTACCTCCTGCTTTTTGTTCTTCTCCTGAGCCACGTCGGACATGCCCTTCAGCACCTGCTTAGCCTGGTCATCCTGGGCGGAGTCCTTGCGCCTCCGCAGCCGCATCTTGCGGGCCAGGGGGTCCTTGGGCCCACTCCCTGCTGAGGAGGGGCAGGCAGCTGAACCTAGGATCAGCCCAGGTCCAGGGGCCAACCCATCCCCGGGGCTGAGAGAGCGGATCCTACCCAACACGGGATGAGAGCTGAGGCCCAGAAGGAAGGCTCCTCCGTGGGCCCACACTCACCGGCCGCAGCCGCCGCCACTGTGGCAGGGGGGGGACCGCAGCTGGTTCTGCAGCGAGAAGTCGATATTGTACCACTCGGCAGCGCGGTCGGCGGGCTTGGGCGGCATGACCAGGCTGGGGTTCTCCCGCACGTCAAGGACCTGCCCACCAGCAAGCAGAGCAGGCGCTGGGTCTGGGTCCCACCTCCCTGCCACACCCAGCCTGTTCTCACGCTTGTCTGCATGGCCAGCTGGGCTGGGGCCAGGGCCCGGCGTCTGTCCCACCTGCCTGGGGGCTGGCAGAGGGCTTGGTTACTGCTGAAACGGCAACAGACACGGTTGTGGGTCACCCAACCCCCACGGCACC